ACTTGATCAGCACCCAGAGATGTCACTAATTTCTCATTCTTGTCACTACAAACTGCCCACACTTTCGCACCAAAACTCTTAGCCAATTGCACGGCCATACACCCAACTCCTCCGCTTGCTCCAATGATCAGAACATTCCCAGGCGACTTGGTGATATCAGCTTTACGTAGACCAGTGAGCGCAGTGCACGCTGACGAAGCGAGACCAGCAGCAGTAGTATATTCCATACCTTCAGGCACTCTCGCGATACGATTAGTATCAACGATCGTATATTCTCCCAAGGAGCCTTTCATGGTAACTCCAAAAACCACATCTCCTGCTTTGAACTCACCATTCGGGATCGTAACCTCTCCAGAAAAATCAAAACCAACAAGACGGTTTCTGAGCACACGAGAGCTGAAGGGCACCATGTAAGGCAACTTGTAGTCGATCGGATTCATCCCAACAGCCAACACTTTCACTTGAACTTGTGAACGCCCCGGTTTGGGTATTTTGAAATCACCATCGTGCCAAGCCATTTCTCCAGCCTTCGTAGAGTAGGTGAATGCCTTCATAAAAAAGGTGAAAATACTTTGTCCTATACTGTTGTCAATTCAAAAACACAGCTTGCGACGTGACAATATACAAGACATGTTCAATAGACTTCTCCTGAGTGCTGAGAGCGCTCCTAAGATGAAGTTTTACATGTAAAATTCAATCCCAGGGGCGCTATCGAAGCTCAGGAGAGGTCTATTGAACACTCCGACAAATCATCCCATGGCAGCAAGCGAAAGATAAGAATAACGCACACAGAAAATCGTGCTAGATGAAAAACCAAAAATATTCGAGGATAATAGACTGGTTAGCGCAAGAACAGCATTACTGTGGCGTGAGTGAAAGCGTAAAGAGGGTTGTTCTCGATAAAGACAAGTAACACAATCGAAATGCGCGCGCCAATCTTACGGTTTCGGGTGCTCCACGACTTTGATCGAAAGCTAAGCTTTCAAGAATCAGGCCATTAGTGGCTACAACCGTACTTCGGGTACGGCTGTGAGGCCGAGCCCGGCTATAATGGTCGAGAGGTCTCCTCGACGGGTTAGAATTTTTTATCAATTTAAAATAGTTCCTTGAGTACGGCGATGCCTTCATATTGATCCCAGGAACATGATAGGATCGGACAGCTGTGTCAGGCCT